CTAATATAAACAATAGCCTAGGTTGTAACATTACTGTACTAACAAAAATAATAACACTCCTGGCTAATCGTTAGCTTACAGCAACTGCAAGGTTCTAGCTAAAAGTAGAAGTCCTGATGGTGGAAAGAAGATGCTGGTGTTACTCTTGTTCTAAATGTGATGGGTGGATGGTTGTTCTTTTTTTTCTATAATGTGCTAAATTAAACAATAGCCTGGGTTGTAAGATTACAATGATAATAACACTAGATGTAGTTATTTTGTAATGTTGTAAATATTGTCCATATTAGTTATGAGTCTTATGACAGTGGAATTGTATATGGTAGTTATTAGGTTGTTATTTTTATGTGTAAAGGACTCAAGGAAGGATAGTAAGGAACTCTAACTTGTTCTTTTAACATAAGAACTCCTGGCTAATCATTGGTTTACATCAACTGCAAGGTTCTAGCTACATGCAGAAGTCCTGATGGTGGAAAGAAGATGCCGGTGTACTCTGTACTAGTTTTAAATGACTGGAGGTTATAATAGATTATTATATAATATATATATTACTTGGCGCTGAAGGTTTGGAGCTAGCGAAACGCTTGTGTCACTGGAGCCAGCGGTATGCTGCCATTGGTCAGCAGGGTTGGGCCGGCGGTTGCCAGGGTTTTGACGTGCGCACGACCGTGACGATGCGGGGAGGTAATGTTCCCGGTGTTTATATTTATCCGCAGCGTCACGGTCGGGCGCACGTCAAAACTGTGGCAGCCGCCGGCCGAACCCTGGTGGTTTGAGGAGATAATGTTCCCGGTGTTTATATTTACCCTCAGCCAACCGTGACCCATAATGGGAACACTGGTCATGGTTCCTGAAGCTGATATTTATATGTCAACAGGAGCATTATAATATGTCGCTGGGTGGACAATAGAGTTGAATAGACCACAGCACTTCAATTTTATGGATGACATCCTCCGCAGACTCCAAATCTAAAACAACTTTCAAAAATAAAAGTTTTCAATCATCTGCCAACCAGGACTGATCATTGTTCACTGGTCATAGTTCGAGTGGGCATCAAGCCGGGTCCTCATGCTGATATTTACATGTCAACACACTTGCACTTCTGTGTAACAGAAACATTACATGGTCATCGGGTGGACTTAGTTACCTCTTAGATGTGCCTGCCAGAATCTTAACAGAACAGAGGGCCAAACTACTAAGTATTAGGACTCACGTACCTTTAAGAGGGGATTTTTAATACAGAAAAAAAGGCAAAACAATGCAGTCAGTAAACAGCTGATCCTGACTTTCAAAAAGGGACTGAAAATGGACTCATCATTCTAGTATTCAGCTTTAATTGCCTTTCCCTTAATAAACAATATAATATTGCATTGCTTCAATGCAAAGTGTAAACTATCCATTGTTTTTAGCAAAAACAGTATTTCTATACAGACATAAACCATATTGATTTTATGTTTAGTACCTACATGTAAAAATATTTATACACAAAATGTCACCAAAATAAACAGATAATCACCATGATCATTGAAACCATTCAGAATGATGAAGCACATTTATAGATTAAAAAAACATAACATACTATGAATCGGGCCAACCAGTAAACCTACAAATTAAATCAGTGTGGCCTTAAGCTGATTATACAACAGTCTCCATGTTTAACATCTCTGTCCCTTTCAGCCGTGATGTTTGTGTAAGCATTCGCCTTTGTGAGTAGGTAGGAAAGTGAAACCTGCGGTAGCCCAACTTTTGCCCGGCGAACAAAAACTCAAAACTCTGCATCAACATTCACATAAAACCTGCCTGCTCCTGTTACACCTGTACAGGTGAGTATGTAAACACCTGCCGCACAGGTAAGCCACGCAGGTGTGGTGTTTACCTGTACCTGACAATGTTCGACAGCAACTTGAGGAGCTTAAATATGCCAGGTTGAACATCAGGGGTCTCACCAGGATTTTTTCACAATGTAGGGGTCAGGTACAGAAGGACAACTTTCACGGTGCAAGACGTGCATTGAGTTGAAAAATTTTGCAAATCATAACCCCCTGAGACATTATTCCCCACTTAATGAGGCACAGTTTTTGTGAAGTTAAGGTTTTCCCTTTGCTATTATAATAGCTTCATTCTAATGTTATATTTTCATTTTTTTGCAAGATTTATGAAGGTTTCCCCCCAAAAAAACACCCCTATGCTGGTTGACAGACAACATAGGGGTCCAAATCACAGCATAGGGGGCCCTATGCGTAAAAGGCCTGGCGAGAACACTGAACATTCTACATGCAAGTCTTTCAAAGCACTTCATGTGGACATTTTTTAGCTTTGTGTTTTTCTATACTGTACATTTCTGACTCAAGTCTGGTCATCTCAGGCCCAAAACATCTTACAGTACAACAAAGTTATTCAAAGTGTTCTTAGACTTGACTTCTTAAATTTGTATTAAAATAAATATTGAGTGATAATATTCTACATCTGCCACCAAACTGCAGAAAATTCTATTTTTCTATCACCAAAAAGGAAGAAAACAATCTTGCTAATCAATGGTTCTTTTTGCCATTTTAAGTTAAATATCACAATTTTTCTGATGCCTTCATCTCTGTTACAGTTACTTTATCAACCTTTCTGCAGCCGATTTTGTTTCTCCCTGTACCTAACCCTGTATCTGTCATTCTTGTACCGGGTTTACCCCTTACCAAAACTTAATATCTGTCATTCTGGCTACAGAGGTTCATCCCTTATGTAGCCTTACATCAGATTGTATAATATAATACATTCAAGCAGTTTTAGTAACTAACTAACTAACTAACCCCCTGCACTATGTATTCTCATGTCTCCCACCTGATCATGAGCCAATGTACATATTTACATCCATATCTGCACCAAACCTCACAGAAGGTTTTCTTAGTTCCACTGGCACTATTGAGAAAATAATTTATTTGACATTTGAGGGCTCCAAATACCACCTGCATATGCACCTTAGTGCAGGTAAAATTGGGGCTGTTTCTGATGTCTTAACCTGCACCTAACCTGCACTGTGCTGGGTTTCTGTACTGGATTCCTATACATTTGTGTGTATGTGGAATTGTATTTGTGTACTGACTGTTAAAACAACATCTTATTTCAAATAAAGTATAAAAAATTTGAAAAATGGTTTCTAAGTCCTGTATGCAACATTTGTCTGGTGCAGGCAGTTTTCAATGCCAAGTGCAGATAGTTGAAAGATTCCAAGTTCTGCATTTTAAACAAACACAGCAGACATGTCGCTATGTAAGGACATCTGTGATTGGTGGGTATTTCTGTAAAAGTTGCCTGTGGTTGGTTGATGTGACTGTGGTACCAAGTGTCTCATGTAAGGACATCTGTGATTGGTGGGTATTTCTGTAAGGTTGCCTGTGATTGGTTGATGTGACTATGTGGTACCAAGTGTCCTATGTAAGGACATCTGTGATTGGTGGCTGTTTCTGTAAGGCTGGATGTGATTGGTGGCTGTATCTGTAAGGTTTCCTGTGATTGGTTATGTGGTACGTAGCTGCGCCAGTTGTCTCTCGATCTCATCGTCCGTTGGAAGGTTCGAAGCCGCTCCGATTTTCCCGCGCCCGGCGGCCGGAGCCTCCGCTAGCTTCCCAGACATCTCGATCCCGATCTCATCCAACACCTGCAAAAATAAACAAACAAACAAATAAACACCTGCATTAACAAACAAAGGTATAACATCTCGATTCCGATCTCGTCCAACACCTGCAAAAATAAACAAACAAACACATGCACAAAGGTACAACATCTCAATCCCAATCTCCTGCACAAACAAATTATAAAGCAAAGGACAAGCTACTGCAGTACCAGGCAGAATAGTTAGGTGGCGCTTCAGAGGGGTGCATGTCAGACATGTATAGTGCCATGTACAACAAAGGGGTGCTTATTAAGGGTTTGAAAAGGAGACTTTTATGTATATTGCAAGAAGCCGTCGGCTATTGAAGTTTTGCTGCCAGTATGTTAATCTGCTCTTGCTAATCCGAAGCTTCGATCCTTTGGTACTTCAACATGCCATGTAGGTGCAATTTAGTATTGTATTGTTCTCTACTCATGCCAGACGACTGGAGAGTTGGGACTTGAAATCTACGTTCTTGCTAGTCCTGTAGTTAATCTCCCATGCAGCATCCAAAAGAACCTGAGTTCCACCTCGGTTACACTTACCTGGGTAACGATGGCGTCCTGCTCCTCCTCGTCTCCTGATTCGTCGAAAATGTCGTCCAGCGTGTCGCTGATCATCTCATCCGTCATCTCCATCTTCGCGTTCTCCCGCTGGAAATCCTGCAACCAATCACAGAGGGTCTTACTCACACATCATCCAATCACAGACAGCCTTACTATGAAATCAACCAATCACAGAGGGCCTTGCTCTCACATCAACCAATCACAGACGGCCTTACCCAAACATCAACCAAACAATCTCACATCAACCAATCACGGATAGCCTAACTCTCACACCAACCAATCACAGACAGCCTTACTCTGACATCAACCAATCACATATGGCCATACTCCGACATCACAGGTGACCATACCCAAATATCAACCAATCACAGACAGCCTAGCTCTGAAAACAACCAATCACAGATAGCCATACTCCCACATCCACCAATCACAGCCAGCCTTGCGCACCTGCATGGTTTTGGCCATTTTCTGCGGGTTCATCTGCTTGTTGACGGCGCCCATGGTCTTACTGGTGCGCTCCATGGCGCCCGCCATCTTCACGGTGGACTGCATGGTTTTGGCCTGGATGCCGACCGCCTGGACCTGCGAACTCGCCGCGTACGATCTCGTCTGGGGGAGGGAAAAACAGACTTTGTTATCGGATGTAAAACCATGAAAATAACACATCATGCACAAGACTATTCACACACGCACACACACACTAATTAGAATAATTAATTCGGCTCAGAGCCTCAGACCCAAGAGGTCCCGGGTTCAAATCCTGCCCGATGCCACCGATCTTGTGCCCTTGCATTGGGAAAGGCACTTAACACGACTTTTCTCACTTCACTCAGGTGGAAATGAGTACCTAGCTTCAGTTGGGGACGTCCCTCGGATAGGACGTTAAATGGAGGTCCCGTGTTTGGGGAGAGCGACACACCACGCACGTTTAAGAACCCACCGATGTTATCGAAAAGAGTAGGGGACCTTCCCGGTGTGAGTGGTTCAAACGTTACAGTCTGGCCTCAGGTTTGACATCTTGAAGAGGTGATAGTCACCTGTTATGTCAATCCTTCCACAAATGTGGTGAATCTTCATAAATAAATAAATAAGTACAGTAGAATGTTTCAGCCAGGTGGAAAGATCATAAACATAAAACAAAAAAATTTTTAGACTAAGCGTTTGTTCGCCACCTTCTGTTTCCTGAGGGCCACCAGCTGTTTAGCCAGGACCGTTGCCGCCTGCTTGTTTCCCTGCTTCGCCGCCTTCTTAATTTCCATTTCCAATTTCTTCTCTTCCCGTTCCAACGACGTTCGATCACGCTCAAGGCCTCGCTACAAAATAAACAAACAAACAAACAAACATCAGAACAATGACAACATCAGGAGTTAGACTTGCTACAATCCAACAACAGTTTGATACTGTCTTTTTGCCACCCTAGGATCTGCTTGGAGATTACCATGTTCTGCCTATAGCCCTCACGTTCATCAAATGTTTCCTCACCAAACTGCAGAATATCCCAGCTAAAAATACTTGCTCTAGCTACCAAATAACATAGCAACGGAATCCACATCCCTGACTGTGGGTTTAGTGTGCTTTCTTTTTGTTCTTTCATATTTGAAAGAATGAAGTCATGAATTATGTAACGACTAGGGGTTCAGGTCAAAAATTGTCCTTGGTCCTAGGATATTGATTCTTATATCATTTGATAGAGTAAGTTGTGACAATTAAAATGGTTTTTATTTCATCCTTCTATGATGTATGGTTGAGGAGTTACAATAATTTCATTTCTTGGAAATCGGGGATTTGGGTCACCAAGAAACAAAGGCCTTAACAATGGGGCCAATGGGGTCAAGGACGGCACCGCTTAACCATTGTTTCAATGGGAAGAATTACAAGAAATCTATTGTGTCACTTGAACTAACATATCTCATGACTGGTGGGACATATGATCTTCAAACTTGGTATACATGTTACCATCAAGCATATCTTCATTAATTTGCATAATTAATTAGGTAATTTGCATAATTAATTAGGTAATTTGCATAATTTATACTGGGTCGCATTTTACTGTTTTCCGGCCAAATAATCACATTTTCCCATGCCAAAGTTGCCTATAAAGTGAATATCTTGGTATGTAGAGTAAGCAACTCAATAAATAGCACGACAACTGTGGTTTTGCAGCGTATTTAGATATATTACATGGTATATACACATTTGTTCATCTGTTGAACCAACTTTACAAAGCTATATACAATCTGACTTTTGAACATTTTCTAATCTGTCATATCTTTCCTGTTCTACAGGGTACTAACAAATTTAACACTGTAACTACTCCATGAAAACGAGACACAGAAGATGTTCCACATCCTGATAGCTGCTCAACACAATGCATGCCACCAGGAGAGAGGCGCTTACTAAAAGCCATCCAGCCTGTGTTGTTCATCATTACTTATGCATTGTACATCACTAAATTGACTGCTGTACTCTTAAAATGCAATTCTACTAGAACATAGACTTATGAGTGAATACTAGTATAGCAAACTATGGCCACTTTTTGCATCATGACAAGATGAACATGTTATCAAAAATCTAGTAGACTACAAAACAATAAGATCCCCTTTCTCTAAGTCTGTTGACGTCAGTTGACGTCAGTTCTGCATTTGTCTTGTCTGCTTCAATTAGGCGTTTGCGGATTTCACTTGTTTCTGCAGATTTTTCCTCTATGGTTTTTTGGAACTTTTCTGCATTCCTGGGAAGTTTACCCGGTTCGTCTTGAAGCATTTCACTTGTCAAGATAGTGGCACCATCAGACTTGGAAGCCATGATGTTCTGCAACAAAGAAAACAATAAAGATTATAAGTCTTAATTTAAAAATTAAGATATTAAATCATGACACATGATGACACATGATTAACAGTAGTCTGAGTAGAGTATTACTGTAATTTTAAATGTAAAGGCAAACGAAAGCCCATTAAAATTTAAATCACTACTGTAATTTGAATGTAAAGCCATCAATTCACATTAATTAAAAGTAAAAAAAAATTAATTAAAAGTAAAAAAAATACGCAAAGTATGATTTTCTGTACAAAAAAAATTATTACTGCTGTATTCAAAGCAGGAATAAAAAGAAATCATTAATTTTATTAAACTTATCTTGGCACACGTAATGGTACAGTCCACTCCCACCCCTAGTAGTTTTCATGTATCATGATAAACACCCTTTACATTTCCGTCAATCCTCGCGCTAATTTTACTCAAAACTACACAAACTACATATGAAACTGTTCCTTAGAAATTCATGTTTCCATATATCTACATCCAAGATCGCTATCTTTTCAAAGTGTACGATATTTTTAGGATCAAAAATGTCCTGCATTTCTGGGCACACGTAATGGTACAGTCCACTTTGGTTTTCATGTACCGATAAACACCCTTTACATTTCCGTCAATCCTCGCGCTAATTTTACTCAAAACTACACAAACTACATATGAAACTGTTCCTTAGAAATTCATGTTTCCATATATCTACATCCAAGATCGCTATCTTTTCAAAGTGTACGATATTTTTAGGATAAAAAATGTCCTGCATTTCTGGGCACACGTAATGGTACAGTCCACTTTGGTTTTCATGTACCGATAAACACCCTCTACATAATTTTCCGTCAATCCTCGCGCTAATTTTACTCAAAACTACACAAACTACATATGAAACTGTTCCTTAGACATTTATGTTTCAATATATTGGAATCAAAGATTGCTATCTTTTCAAATTGTGCGATAATTTTACGATCGAAAATGTCCTGCATTTGTGGGCGCCCGGTACGAAGCGCCCCCCTCCCACGCTGGTGCATGCCATGTGCACCGCTAAACACCCTCTACATTTCCGTCAATCCTCGCGCAGATTTCACTCAAAACCACACAAAATATACATGAAACTGTTCCTTAGAATGTATATTTTAATACATCCAAATCCCAGAATGGTAACTTTACGAATTGTACGAAATTTTGACGGTTAAAAACTATCTTACCTCGCCGTTTCACTTTCCCTGCACCGAAAAACGCCAGGATTTCTTGTAGCTCCGCCCACAAGCCTCTGCTAGCCGAACAAACACGAATGACGCCTTATATGGGCAAGGATCCCGGCGGAAATGCCCGAATACGGGACGATGCCGAGGCCGACCGCTGCCGAAGTTCGGGGCCCGGCCCGGCGGCCGCACGGCAGGCGTGGAGAAGGGCGCATTTGCCGCACGTTTCGGAAGATATCTCGCCGGTCGTATCTCGTATTTTAATGCCGTTTACGATGCATTTGGACAACAAAATTCCCTTCATTTTGATGTATAATACTTGAGTATTGGTCAAGGGATTATCGAGATATCGCCTCAGAAAGTTGGAAAACCGGGTGTTCACGCCGGTTTCGCCGGGGTCAGGTCACGTGACTGAACCCCCTATTAAATAATAATAATAAAAATTATTATTTACGAGGACGTAATTCGGGCAATTTTTGCCCGTGTGTTCCTTTGGACTTTTACTAGTAATAAAGTTGTAATAAACTTGTGATTTCAACTTTAATCATGCTCTGATGAAATGTGATATTTTTGGAGCCAAAACAACTGTAGATTCTGAATCTAAAAATATCACTGAACGCAGACAACTAAATTATGTCAATAATGTTTTGAGTAATTAAGTTTGTCGTAAAATTCTTCCCTGTAGATGCAAAAACACACCCAAAGCTGCCAACTACCTCCCCCCCCCAAAAAAAACAACACATATACACCCAAGGTATTTAACTCTTGGTGCCACACACACCCAAACCTCTGAGCTATCATTTATAATTACAGTAAAACTCCCCACCACACCCCCTTAGTTCTGCGTTCTCTTTGCTGTTTCTTCAAAAGGCAAATTAATACACTAAGAACTACTATTACTCCTAAACGCTGTTGGGTTTGACTTCTTTTGTGTGTTATTTCTTGAAGACAGAGGAAGACAAAACAATACAATTATTATACGGAGTTAAAAGACACATAATTTTGTAAAACTAGCCCCCCACCCCCTTTTAATACGTACCTGCGTTCTTCGCAGTTCTCTCTGTTGTTTCTTCGCCACTTCCTCCGGCGTTTCTCTCTTAAAAAGCGGCATCTTTACCCTTCCTATCTCTCCGACCCTCCAGCAAACGTTACACACACAAACTGAGGAGGTTTTAACCCCCCTAAACGCGCACAAACTTACAGCGTTCTAAAACACAGTTCTGAGATATTTTGTTGACCTGCCGGTGACTCAGAATCACGCGACCCGGAAGTGATTCGTGTTTCACCTGTTGGTACCTCATTTGCATGTTCGTGATACTTGAGTGGCATGTTTTGCATGTTCGTGATACTTAAATGGTACCATTACATAGTAACTTCACGTAATTTTCAGGGTTAGTTAACTTTATAGGATATAACGTTGCTGCATAAGGGTATTAACCGTCCTTCAATTGGTAAAAGCCATGTAAACTCCCTTGGAATGTGTGGAATGTGATATGAGGTAATAGGCGTGCAGTACCATTACTGGCCGTTGGTGTCGCTGCTGACAATGGCATCATGACTACAGCACACACTACTACTCTCCAAGCAGAGGTTTGGGTTTTGGGATATTTTTGGCGTGTTTTTAGGCTTTTTTATCGGGGTTTCTTTTTGCACTGGAAGTTTTTGGGTTGGGTGAAAAAAATACATGCATGGTGACAGAAGTCTAAATCCCTCCTGCTATAAAATTGCAACATGATGTCTGGTTCAGGTCACTGGCCTTATGTGTTCGGAGAAGAAGAGGAAACTGAGCAAAAAATATGCTTTCCTTCAGTAAACATAAATATTATCCAAGAAGTTTTTAATCCAACTTTTAACCTCCATGTACATGTATTACATATTACCGTATTGTAAGGATTCCAGACATGAACACTTAAGTGTGATGATGGTATATTTATTTATTGTCACATCCAAATATTATAAGCTTTACCTACATGTAACATGTCATCCTCAGCAGATAGCTATAAAACTATAGAGCCTTGCACAGTCCAACTCTGGTCTTCAAGACCTTAACATTTCCTGTCTGTGATACTATCTAAGACATAGTAGCATCAAGGAGGTTCTTTAAGGTTTAGTGAACCTCCTTGGCAGCAATTTCACCTGTTTGTTTGAACGTTCACAATAGATTTCTTCAGTTGGCTGCTAATGATAATAATCAAAGCTTTGGTATCTTTCGAGAATTTATATAGATCTGTATCTGTATAGCCGGTATAACCGCCTTTCGGCATAACGCACCAGCTTCTGTATCTGTATAGCCGGTATAACCACCTTTCAGCATAACACACCAGCTTCTGTATCTGTATAGCCGGTATAACCACCTTTCGGCATAACGCACCAGCTTCTGTATCTGTATAGCTGGTATAACCGCCTTTCAGCATAACACACCAGCTATGGAATGGCAAATTATGATTGTTTCCTATGGATTGGCAAGTTTAGATTGTGGAGACTCTTTTTACACAACCAAGTCTTTTATAAGCCTTTTTCACCTATGAGAGGCGGTCACCAAAACGTCGGCTGAATAAAACACTTGGTTGTATATTAAAAAGAGTCTCTTTACTCAGTGACTTACCAACCTGATGGAAATATTCACGGATGCTTCCTATGCTGTAAGTTAGCCATTCCGTACTGCATAATTACGCTTACTGCACACTTGCCTTGCTGTAATAACACACACAATGCCAACACAGCTTGCCGAGATTTGCTCACACGTTCTTACAAAGTGGATAGTTTTTCTAATCTGCTCTTCTCTTCACAAAAATAAGAATCTGCTACGAGTACTTCAACTTGCCATGAGCTTTTAACGCCTACAAAATTCCAAATGACCTGTTCTTGCCAACTTTTTTTTGCATTTGGAAGTTTTACGAGTTCTTTTTAATCATGTCATTAATAGTATTTTTTTAAGAGGCTGACAGCAAAAATCAACATAAGCCAGTATAGGTTGCTGTAAGCAGTCCAACACTTCGCCAGATGGTGCTAAAAGTGGGGAAATTTTGTATATTATAGATTCTTGTAGGTCGAAATCAACGGCTACATATATTTCTCTGACGTCAACAGAGAAAGAAAATAGTTTGTGTGGCCCTACTGACAGTGCATTGGCACAAAACGTCATATATGTTCCAATGTGCTAATCAATATAATATATTTTGCAGTGCACCAATCACAGACGTGGTTCTGTATATAGTGCACCAATCACAGGCATTGTTCTGTATGCAATGAACCAATTACAGGCTTGGTTCTGTATATACTGCTTCCTGATTGGTGTGCTGTGCACCAATCACAGGCAGGCATGGCAGCATTCTGTTTTCTTATTGGTCAGAGTGCTGCACATCAATCATTATGCAGATTTCAAACTGTTTTCTGATTGGTGTGCTGTGTTCCATGCCGTTTTCTGATTGGTGTACTGTGCACCAATCATCACACAGGTTCCATGCTGTTTTCTGATTGGTGTACTGTGCACCAATCATCACACAGGTTCCATGCTGTTTTCTGATTGGTGTGCTGTGCACCAATCATCACACAGGTTCCATGCTGTTTTCTGATTGGTGTGCTGTGCACCAATCATCACACAGGTTCCATACTGTTTCCTGATTGGTGTACATCCAAGCTCATTAACATAAGCCTTTGCCATAACTGCCACATATTTCTAGGCAGTTTTTTGCAATAATGTACACATGTATAGACTATTTAATCTCTACAATCTGAATATATATATATATATATATTTATACGAATTTGCACATTTAAATCTCCTTTTCCCAGCATATTGCAAAAACACTAGAAGGATATATAGAAATTATATCTGAACCTCAAATAAATATGTACAATACATTTTGCACAATCTGTGTGCTTAATTATCATTCATATGTGCATGAAATAATGATTGCATTTTCACAGGATTCGGGGAGTACTATATATATATACTCCCAACAACAACACTTGTACTGCATGCAGCATGTTTCAATACAACATGTAAATATAGCTATGTTCTCTCAAAATAACTCCAGTCTGTACACAGATGCTCTTTCACTCCAGCTCACTATTGGCCAGAGTGGCTACCATAGTAACAGTTGCCATGGGAACACATGAAACACAGACTACAAACATCAAATCTTACACTTTGCCAGTTACTATGGTGCAGTGTTACAGGTACTATGGTGCAGTGTTACAGGTACTATGGTCCAGTGTTACAGGTGTACTATGGTGTAGTGTTACAGGTACTATGGTCCAGTGTTACTAGGTACTATGGTCCAGTGTTACAGGTACTATGGCCAAGTGTTACAGGTACTATGGTGCAGTGTTACAGGTACTATGGTGCAGTGTTACAGGTACTATGGCCAAGTGTTACAGGTACTATGGTCCAGTGTTACAGGTACTATGGTCCAGTGTTACAGGTACTATGGTCCAGTGTTACAGGTACTATGGTCCAGTGTTACAGGTACTATGGTCCAGTGTTACAGGTACTATGGTCCAGTGTTACATGTACTATGGCCAAGTGTTACAGGTACTATGGTCCAGTGTTACAGGTACTATGGTCCAGTGTTACAGGTACTATGGTCCAGTGTTACAGGTACTATGGTCCAGTGTTACAGGTACTATGGTCCAGTTACAGACGGTACTAAAATGTGCTAATTGGTCCTGTTATATAGATTTTACCTACATCTATCCTGCTTCTGACCTCATATTTTAGTTTCTTCTATTATTACATATTCCATATAAGGGCATGTCATCCAGGGTCAGCCACAAGAAACTGTGGGATACATGCCAGATCAGCCCCAAGGAACTGTGGGATACCTGACAGGTCAGTCCCCAAGGAACTGTGGGAAACCTGACAGGTCAGTCCCAGGGAATTGTGGGATACATGCCAGATCAGCCCCAAGGAACTGTGGGATACCTGACAGGTCAGCCCCAAGGAACTGTGGGATACCTGACAGGTCAGTCCCAAGGAATTGTGGGATACCTGACAGGTCAGCCCCAAGGAACTGTGGGATAGCCTGATAGAAAAGCCGCTGCCTTGCCTGGTGGATTCTGGGATATGGGGTCGAGGTCATTTCAGACAGCTGTTTCCTGGTTCTCCTCGGTCGACGCGAGGACATATTGCTCCTGACCTTTCAGGTAGTCGGCAAGGTCGCGGTCGTTGGCTTTCAGTGACAGCAGCCGGGGCGTGTTGCCCTGGTAACAGCAGTAAACAACATGTTACCATGGTAATAACAATAAACAACAAACAAGTGAGAGAGAAGGCGGGGCATGTTGCCATGGTAACAACAATAAACATGTTTGACCTGTGACCTACGTTTGAGTCTCTGCTGGTGACCTTTGCCCCTGCAGCGACCAGCATGCAACAGATGGACCGTCTCTGGTAGCTGGCAGCCTTGTGCAGGGGGGTCTGCCCCCTGGGATATAAAACAAGACAACATCATTAACTACTGTATGATAGTTAAGTGTTGAACATTATTCCAACACAAGGGTTACAAATTTTCAGCAACCACTGTTGCCTTCATCAGGATAATTAATGACCATTATCATATAGCATACACCTGACCTTATTCGCACAAGACTTTAAGGATATGTGAGGTCAGAAATTGATCAAACATTTTACCATCATTTACTACCATCATTTTCATAATCATCAACTCCTGTTACCTTGCAAATAGAACAATAAGATTACAAGTACTGTTAGTGTTACAGGAGAACGCTCACTTCTCGTAGTCTGAGATGTCCAGCAGGGAGGGAGGGCCGTGTTTGAGGATGTACTCCACCAAGTCCTTGTGTCCGTAGCGCACGGCGTGGTGCAGCGGAGTCATCCCCTGCACGTCTGTCGCTGTCAGGTCTGCACCACTTCGCAACATTTCCACCAGCTGGGTAGGAAACACAGACAAACATCAACACAAACGAGAAGAGTCTATGCTGCAGTACCTAGGAAAGCCACCAGGGGGCCCAAAATCTAATCATTTCTATAGGTCTCATCAAGACCTACCCATCTACCAAGTTTCATGACAATCTATAAAAACCTTCGAGTTATTGTGCTTAACCACATACACACACACATACATACACACACAATGCTATGGAAAACATAACCTTCTTGGCGAAGGTAACAACATGTTTTCTTTCTTCAAAGGTAAACATAAACACTGGACCCACCATGCCGATCTCCCCTTCTCTGCAAGCCTCCAGAAGCCCTGCGAACAAGGAATTTTGGTAGATTAGAAATAAAAATGAAAATTGAGAATTTTCTGCTGTGTTTGTTAATACTTTGTTATCATTTTGCACAATTCTGATATGCATGCAAAAGAAAGAAACACTGCTCTCGAGAAATTCAGTTTGGCTACAGTCTAGAAGTGCGCAACAAACGACAACATGTTCAAAATGCAATAAACAAAAGATTAGAAAATCTGAGGAAAACTTACGTGCGTCTTTTTCCGAAGCGTTTGGGCTGCTGTAAAAGAAACAGGTGTCAGTTTCTGTTTAAAAAAATAAATAATAATTATATTCCTATGATTGCTCTTAAATTCTATTTCTTCAAACTAGAAACTTAAGGTAACATCTGCAAGGCAAATGCATAATGTTTACCTTCGCATATGGTCTGTTATTTCTTACTCAAATTCATTTCTCATAATTACATGGCCAAACAGGAGTATACATCCCTCAAATTGCAACATTATGTAACCCAACACCAGTCACCATGGTGACAGACATCAACAAAGCAGGTCATTGGCCAGGTCAGAGGTTAGTGTTTGGAACAGAAGAAGAGGAAATGTAGCAAAAACAAGATGTTTTCTTTCGGTAAACATTAATTACAGTGATACCTGGCGCCGGTACTGTGCAGTGTAACCGGCCGCGGCTGCCGTCTGGAGGTGCTCGGGGAACCAGAGAACACTGGAGACGCCGGCTCAGACCTACATGTACAAAGTGGTACAAAATATTTAAAAAAATATATGTGGGTTTGCAAGTAACATCTGTGTCCATAATATCACCAGGGTCCATGATATCGCCACCTGGAGAAGTAGTGTGCTTAAAGATATTTTTACTGCAACATACCCTAGGTATGTACATTTGAGGTGTGCAGGAGTGCATACCATAAGTATGTTGCAGTAAAAATATCCTCAAGCACACTTTTTCTCAAGGACTGGTGGTGATATTATGGACCCTGGTGATATTATGGACATGGATGTTACAAGTTTTGGCTGGATGGTTTCCAATATTATTCAAACATCCAAATGTCATGACCGCACTTGACTATGACCTTTGACCTTACCTCACAGTGCCGTCTGGTGGGGAGGGCCGGTCCATTTGACCAGGGGGGAGGCTCTGAACTCGGTCATTTCTTCTCGAAGACCTGTTAACATTCAAACTGTTACTGTCCCATAAACGGGTTAGCTATTGCTAGATAGAAACTTACATAGGAGACCCACTGATTGTTTGATTTGCATGTAATTGTGAGACCTAATGAACTTACATAGGAGACCCAGAATGCACATGTTAGGAGACCCCGGTGGAACCAACATGGGAGACCCAACTTACATGGGAGACCCAGGTGGAACTTACATGGGAGACCTGGGTGGAACTTACATGGGAGACCCAGGTGGGTGGAACTTACATGGGAGACCCTGGTGGAACTTACATGGGAGACCCAGGTGGAACTTACATGGGAGACCTGGGTGGAACTTACATGGGAGACCCAGGTGGGTGGAACTTACATGGGAGACCCAGGTGGGTGGACCTTACATGGGAGACCCTGGTGGAACTTACATGGGAGACCTAGGTGGAACTTACATGGGAGACCCTGCTGCAGGAGGAACTTACATGGGAGACCCAGCTGCAGGAGGAACTTACATGGGAGACCCGGGCGGGGTGACGGGGAACACGAAGGCCTTGCCCTGCGGTGTTCCGGCGCTGGTGCTGTGACCTTTAGGATGCTGTTCCACAAGGTCGGGCATGGCGGGAGACGTACAGACGTCCTTGGTGATGACCAGCTCAGGGTCAAGGACAAACAGCTCCTTGGAGGAGATGTCCGTCACATAGTGCAGGTTCTCCTGTAAACAATAAACAACAACAAATAAACAAACACATAGTGCAGGTTCTCCTGTAAACAATAAACAATAACAAATAAACAAACACATAGTGCAGGTTCTCCTGTAAACAATAAACAAATAAACAACAATAAATAAACAAACACATAGTGCAGGTTCTCCTGTAAACAATAAACAATAACAAATAAACAAACACATAGTGCAGGTTCTCCTGTAAACAATACCAAACAAAACATTCCAGCAAATAATCAATCAACAAAATGTCATAGAAGTAATTTTTCTTCTTGCCTTAGAATGTTAGATACCCAATAATTATATTTTTGAGAATACCAGTAAGTAAAAAAAATCATTTCTCCACACCTGTGTTCTGTCGATCCGGAAGAATCGGTCTGCGTTGGTTGCTATGGAAACAAAAATGGCAGTGGTAAAAAATCTGACAGCAACAACAGAATTATGATTATATACAGGAACTGTGCATGCATGGAGACATCATAGCTGCGAGCATGAAAATGTTGGCTAAAAGTACTCACAGTCTAGCTATCTAATGACAATGCCCCTACTGTACTTTGCAGCGAGTTCCACTCTGCGATAGTTCTAAGAAAGATCTATTGGTGACCGAGATGTGTCGCAGATGTGTTTAAATCCCTTAGAAATTCCACAAATACGAAAAAATGGCTGAGCAGAAGTACTCACAATCGAGGAAGCACCATTTGGGCGAGAGCTTCTGACTGGAAACGGACAGCGTCAGAGTGGCTCTGGCCGGGTTATCCTGGAACAAGAACAATACAAACAGCTCCTTTACTTTACGTTTACCTTTACTTACTGGGGAAATCTGGTTAAGTTAATTAATTTTGTTATCTGGTTCTTTTGCTCTGCATGTTTTTTTTCACAACCACAAGCAGCTACAGTACAGCCAAGCAGCACCAAACCTTGGGTCACTCTACATTACATGTAAGCACCTCTGCACACCTTTTACTGCTTTCCTGATCTAACAACCTGTTTCTTTAGCTCACCTGTAATTTGATAGAAATCAAATTTTGGTACAATTTTTATTTTATAAATCAAAGTTTTGGCTTGCTTAATGCCCTAAACCCTAAAAGCTTTGCGGAGCATTTTCTACTAATGTTTGAGCGTTTTGTTCCTAACTTACGATGAGAGAAATGGATCTCTGAAACCCCACACGTACGTGTGGCTCCTGCAAAACAGCACAGGTCACACAGGTCAAGAGTCAGCACAGGTCACACAGGTCAAGGGTCATAGGTTAGAGAGGTCACAGAAATGACAAGAGAGAGGTTAGAGATAAAACAGTCATCAAGGTCACACAAATACTGTTGGGGAAGCATAGTCTGTGACCTTGGGCCTTCCCCAACAGGATGTGTGACCTTGGGCCGAAAATCCATAGATTACGATAAACATAAAAACAAAAAAGACAAAATGTTCAAAAAGATAATGAAGAAACATGAAAGTGGAAAACATGACAGCTTTACGGACATCGAGGAGGTTTATACATGTGTTATGTTAGTCACAGAAGTCAAATTTTTTTACAAATAACAATGTTCACTCACAGAGAAGAGGCAAGATTGCAGATCTTTACAGTTCTTCCTGACCTTGCCCCCCTCCCCACATGACCATGCCCCCCTCCCCACCTACCTCCTGTAGGCCAAATGACCATGCCCCCCTCCCCACCTACCTCCTGTAGTCTGTCGATGTGGCCGCGACATTGCTCAAGGTCACAGTCACCCGGCACGACTATGATGCCGACAGGAATGGCTGAAACCAAAACAAACAACAATCACTTTCTGCTGATGTTATAAATTATGCCCATAGCTCAAAGGTCCACTTTTTGGTCCACTTTTTATCTAGGTCCAATATTTTTCGTTAAAAGATGGACTGATTCGTGTCACCAGCAAGGCTGGAATCATAGGAAAACGGCTCACTTTGTCTGAAAAAAAATATCTCTGATTTTTTCTTTGAAATCCCCTAAAATAACAAAGGAAATGCCATTTCAGACGGTTCATTTTTTGAAAATTTTCCGGGGGAGCATACCCCCGGACCCCCTAGGAACCTCGCGCCTTCAGCGCTTGCTGGTCCCCTCAAGCACTGGGAAGAACCCCCCATTCAAAATCTTGGCTACAGGCATGTAAATTAATATTCTATTATCATGACACTAATTTTCAGCACCATGGACAAGGTCATATAACCGTTGCAGACTTACAGGCTTCTCTGGCTTCTCCCAGCAACCAAGGACAATTTACACCATAAAAACTACAAATTTGCACTTAGAACACAGGCCTAGAAGGTGTTATAGACATAAAAGTTGACAAATCGGAGTTTGGTTGGGTAAAAATCCTGGTTGCCGCTGAGACCACAGAAAAGGCGTGCGTCCCTGGGGGATGACCTCTGACCTACAAAAATAAAAAATAAAAAAAAGGACTCACAGGCGTCCTTGAGTTTGTCCTTGTCGTAGTGCAGTGCCTCGTAGTCCACCATGCTGACCTTGCTGACCTGGATACGCAGCCGCTCCGACGCCAGCCCCGGGCTCGTGGCACTGGCCAATCAACAAACAGATCTCGTTTGAACTGACCAATCAATGAACACATCTCGTTTGAACTGACCAATCAACAAACACATCTCGTTTAAACTGACCAATCAGCAGACAGATCTGGTCAGCACTGACCAATCAACAAACAGGTCTGGTCAGCACTGACCAATCAACAAACAGATCTTGTTTAAACTAACCAATCAAAATCATGCTAAACAACTTTTAGATCTTTGCAGTCCTTTGCTCTATAACATCAACTGTAATTGTTAGCCACACAAAAGTACATCACAGAAACAAAACGTTTTTAGCTATATGTGTCCTATTTGCTTTCTTTCTTCTGGGATGGGAGTCAGGGTTAGGGTTAGATTGACTCACACTGTGCTCAGTGCTGTTGGATGCCAGATGAAGGGTTAGATGTTAGAATCAGGGTTAGGAACAGATTGACTCACTCTGCGCTAGTCAGGGTTAGGGTTAGACGTGGGAGTGTTAGAGTCAGGGTTTAAGGGTTAGCTGTGGGAGTGTTAGAGACAAGGTTAGGTTTAGAAGGACTCACTCTGCGCTGAGTGCTGTTGGGGTTCTCCTCTTGCTCTTGAGCACGACATTTGCCTGGTTCCGCAGCGTGACGTGGACCGTGGCCGGCGCCAGGCGGCAAGGCTCCCCATCCACCTGCATCGCGATTTCATTTTAGTTATTCCCTCGGCTTACAACAGTCCAGGATTGCAAAACTAGTCATAGACTATTGTTATGGGTCAACAAATAGACCCATCGTAGACAAATAGAAAATAGAATCGTCGGGCATATGTCCTCTAGAGATTTTTCATTGTAAACTTCATTTCTGGTACATTTACTTGAATAACAGAACACAGGAGACAAAAGACATACATTTTTGATATGAAAACCCCAAAATATTTCATTTCTGACTTTGTCTAGCATCTAAGTTACCTGCATCGGGATGGTTTTGTACGTCGTGATTCGCGCCTCGCGGCACTGACACAGACGCTCCCCGTGACCTCCGACCTGCAGGGTTGCCTAGCGACACAACAGAGGTGAGAGGTTAGTTTTCTAGTAACCAATCACAAGCCAGCACCATACTGACCAATCAGAACCATCCAACACCCCACTATCCAATCAAAACCTACCCACAGCCCAATGACCAATCAGCTGTGTGCATGTGGAACTGACCAATCAGAATCATGTACGTGGAACTGATCAATTAGAATCATACATGAATCTGATTGGCCAGTTCAACATGCATGATCCTGATTGGTCAGTGACATGTGGAACTGACCAATCAGATTCACGCACCTGCATGGAGCTGACCAATCAAATGCATGCATTTGGAGCTGGCCAATAAGATTCATGCATGTGAAACTGACCAATCAGATTCATGCGTGATTCAAACTGACCAATCAGAGAGCAGAACTGACCATTCAGATTGAATTTCATGCAATGTGGAACTGACCAATCAGATTCATGCTTGATTCAAACCGACCAATGAGCAGAACTGACCAATCATAATTATGCAGGCAAGTGGAACTGACCAATCAGATTCATGAGTGTGTGTGTGTGTGTGTGTGTATGTGTGAAACAGACCAATCAGATTCATGAATGATTCAAACCGACCAATGGGAGAGCATTACTGACCATGGTTGCCGGGGTGAAGCCGAGCACCTCCAGGTAGCCGTCGTCGTGTCTCTGCGGCTCGAGCTCCGGGTGTTGGGAGCTGCTGGGGTTTCCCCATGGGACTGTTCCGGAACAGTACCTAAATAAACAAACAAACAAACAAACAAACATCAGTCGTGTCTCTGCGGCTCGAGTTCCGGGTGCTGACTGCTGCTGGGGTTTCCCCATGGGACTGTTCCGGAACAGTACCTAAACAAACAAACAAACAAACAAACAAACATCAGTCGTGTCTCTGCGGCTCCAGTTCCGGGTGTTGGGAGCTGCTGGGGTTTCCCCAGGGGACTGTTCCGGAACAGTACCTAAACAAACAGACAAACAAACAAACAAACATCAGTGTACAACAGCAACATGGTGCACAATAGCTGCTGCTTGGGTTTTCCCATGGAACTGTTTCTGAACAGTACCTGCAACAACACAGGTGCACAATAGCAAAAGGTGCATAATTGTTTGTCCTTACCTGGGAATATTGAGGAAGAGAAGACAGTGCAGTTTCAGCTCCTGAACTTTTGCTGTCATGTCCACATCGTCACACTACAGCGGGGAGAACAGAGTGAAACTGGAGTTAACAGTCTCCCTTCACTAAAACATTCACCTGAATGAGTAAAAGTCAATTCTCTAGAGTTTAAAATTATATCAGAAGATTGGGGGAAGGACTGAAGGAAAGAGCCATCATCATGGAATAAGTTCAGTACTGACCACCAGTTGCACATGTTTCGCCAGGTCCTTAGAACTGCCCTTCATCAGCTCGCGACCTCCAGCCTGAAGGTCAAGAAGAGACAAGAACTTTTTAGGCAACAATCTGGAAAGTTCTGCTGCAACAAAGCAAACAAAAGAGACTTTACAAGTTGAGTAACTGATACAATCAGACATCACTGTTGCCATGGTAACCAACTCACCCCAGCGTAGAACATCTTGTTGCGGAATCTGCTGTTGAACTTCTCAGGATTCGCCTCTGCAGAGGGCAAAGGTCAACAAGGGTCAAAACGTGCAGACAGGTAAAAAGTAGAGGTCAAACATTCCGCAAAAACATGCCTTAATGTCAATGGATGTATCTTTGGCATCAGTTTGTTAATTTTGTGAAAATGCTACAAATTGCTACAGGCATACATGTACATCCTAACCGAACTCTGACCCCTGACCTCGTGACCTATTATGAACTCTGACCTCGTGACTCGTGGAACTCGAGTGCGACGTGTGCGTCGGCCCCCATGCTGAAGTAGTTGTTCATCACGTCCAGCGGGAGCTGCAAGTTCACAAAGTCAAGGTCAGATGAGATAAGAACTCACACAAGGTCAAGGTCAGCTGAGAGAAGATAGAGTTGCCCTTGATAGAAGAAGGGCATGTACATGCTACAAGGTCAAGGTCAGCTTATAAAAGGGACCAAGGTTGGATGAAAGAACAGAAGGTCAAGAACAATGACAGTAAAAAGTTCAGCTAAGAGCACACAAGACAAAGCAGCACTGGTGCAATCCCAGCATGCACTACTGCAGTACACAGCATGCACTGGTGCAACACCCAGAATGCACTACTGCAGTACCCAGCATGCATTGGGACAGTACCCAGCATGCACTGATACAGTATGCAGCTAGTGCAACACCAAGCATGCACTTCTGTAGTACCCAACATGTACTGGTTAAACACCCAGCATGCACTGCTGAACTACCCAGCATGCAGTTCTGTTATGGCTGTTACCTTTTCCTTCACTTCCCCCTCTGGAGCCCCGAGCTCTGCCTCCTGAGAAGGCCACAACACAGCTTGTATCAGGGGGAGTGAGCACACAAGGTGTAAGTTCTGTACAGTAGCAATATAATGCCAACTCATGAACTTACCAGGAGAGACAGGGTTGAGACACAGGTCAGACAGGTGAGGCTCAGGTGAGACACAGGTAGGAAAGACACAGGTGACACACAAATAGCACACAGGTGACAGGTCAGACACAGTTGAGACACAGGTTGAAGACACAGGTAAGACACAAGTATATTTAAGACACAGGTAACATGCAGGTAACACATTGTCAGGCAGTTGTTCTATCTAAAACCATGACAACTATAATACTGTATAATTGTTCTATCAGTAACCATGAGAACTGCTGACCTTCTGACTGTAGTTCTGTTCATAACCATGACAACTATTGTTCTATCCGTAACCATGGCAACTGAAACCATGACAACTGTAACCATGACAACACCCACCTTGTCTCCGCCCTCGTCCCCGTCGTCCGCGGCGACCAGCCTGTTGGGCGAGACCTGCAGGTTCCACCTGTCCAGCTGCACCACTGGTCCGTCCTCAACGTGCGACAGGATCTTAGAGATGGGCTCATCTGTGTAACCCTGGCAACCAGCAAACAAACAAACAAACAAACAAACAAACATCAGTCCAGCTGCACCACTGGTCCATCCTCTACGTGCGACAGGATCTTACTGATGGGCTCGTCTGTGTAACCCTGGTAACCAACAAACAAACAAACAAACAAACATCAGTCCAGCTGCACCACTGGTCCATCCTCTACGTGCGACAGGATCTTACTGATGGGCTCGTCTGTGTAACCCTGGTAACCAACAAACAAACAAGTAAACATGACAACTTGACTAGCCATGTGACAAGTCTCACTGGGTCAGTCTACTGAGGAAGACCAGAGTGACTGGTCCAAAGCTCTAGGTGAGAGAACTTTTGGTGTTGGATCTAAAGTTTTAACTTCACATCACAAACAAACATCACTGCACATAGGAGAGGATCTTGGAGATCAGATCTGGCTACAGGTTGTACCCAGTGGGTTGTACCAATACTAGTCCTCCCCAGTTGACATGCCTGCGGTGATGCGTGTGTTTGTTTGTGTGTTTGTTTGTGTGTTTGTTTGTGTGTTTGTTTGTTTGTGTGTTTGTGACTCACCCCTCCCCAGTTGAGCGTCCTTGCCAGGTCGTTTCCCGTCCCCAGGGGTAGCACTGCCACGGGGGGAGGGGGGCTGATGCCCAGCGAGTCCAAGGTCGACAGGATCCAGCCAGCCTGCAAGGTCACAGACAGGTCAGGGGTCAGTTTTACTTAATACTAGTTCAACTTGTACCAACACAGATAAACTTTCATGCTAAGTTACTAGTTTAAGTTCAATCATTAGTGCTGATCATATTGTTTTTGCTCTGATTCTTCCTCTTCTTCTTCTACAAACAAATAAGGTCAAGAACCTGAACCAGACGTCTGTCACCATGGTAACTAGTGTTGGGTTACATCATGCTGCAATTTTATAGCAGGAGGGATTTAGACTCCTCTCACAATATATATGTTTGAGTTTACTAAGAATTAACAGAGCAGACCATATGTGAAGGTAAACATTATGCATTTGCTTTGAGAATGTTTGTTTGTTAAGTTTGTTTGTTTGCTTGACTCACCGTTCCGTCGCCCCCACAGGCCAGGATTCTCAAGTTCGCGACCTTGCGGTACATTTCCAGCGCTTCCCGGGGCCCGCCCTGGGAAAGGTCGAACACCTGCCGCGGGTTCAGGTACCAGATAAACTTCTGCATGATCTTCGCTCCCTGCAAAACATTCAAGACACAATCAGAATTCTACTGTAACAGAACAATACAAGTGTTATATACTTGTTTGTTTGTTCAGGTACCAGATAAACTTCTGCATGATCTTCGCTCGCTAAGGAAACAAGCAACAAGGTGTTCTACAGGACCATTGACCTTTTTTTCTTTACTTCATGGTTCACTACAAAACAATGCTCATGAAAGTGCACACTTGGGTTACTGTACAGCCATGCAGTGAGGACAGATGTTTGTTGACCAGAAAAAGTTTAAGGTTGAACCCATGTCGGAAGCAATCACGTGGTAGCTTTCAGCGTGGAACTTCCTCCTAAGAGGTGGTGAATGGAGGAAGAAAGGGTGATTTGCTTCGGTGGAGGTGGCAAGACGTGTTTTTGCTGAGAATGTTCGAAGTGGGGGCACTAGCAAGTGAAGTTCCACAGAAGTTCTATCTACAGAACCATTGACCAGTGTTCTACAGAACCCTTTTTTTCCCACAGTTTTCCCACCTGGTTGCCTCCGCTTTTAGGGTTGACGAAGACCAGGAGCGGCTTGATGAAGGGTGAGGCGACCGGCTTGATCATGAACGCCTTCGACTTGCTCTCCTGGAACATAACAAAAAAACACATTCCTGAAGGCGTAACAACTCATTCTTTCTCTCTCTCTCTCTCTCTCTCTGTCTCTCTCTCTCTCTCCTCCTCTCTCTCTCTCTCTATCCAGCCATTCAACCAGGAAAAACCCATTCTTTACAATGGCTGCATTCTGAGACACAGGTGAGTTAGCTAGGGGATCATGAAGGCATTTGGCCTGCTCTGCTGGACAGAAACACAAAAAAACACGATGTAAAGGACTCCAGGGCGAAGAGGATTAAGTCAAGTAAGTCAAAGGACTCCAGGAAAAATAGTGATGTATTATCACTATTGGGAGCTTCCTAAATAAACAAATAAATCTGTGCAGCCAGGAAAAAAACACATTCCTTTCTCGGACACAGAAAGCAGACAAGTTTTGCAATTAAGATTCCCAGGTGAAGACCCTAAAGTCTTTAAGGAACTACAGCTCACCTTGAGAGACTTTCTCTTGATGGAAGGTCGCTTCTTCTTCTTGAGCGAGGATTTGATGGACATCTGTCAGTAGGACATGACAAGCTGTCAGTTCTACATGTGAAGACTAACCTCTGAACCCTAACCTCACACGTAGCCAGTCCAACAGTGCAGATCATGCTAGCGAGGGCTTACATACATGTAATAGATAGTCAGCAGCCTTAGGCTAGATCTTATACTACTGTAGATACATGCATGTATCATACACATTGTTCTATGACCTTGTCCCTTCTACCCACCAAGTTCTTGCCCTCCTCCCCATGACCTTGCCCCCTTCTACCCACCCAGTTTTGCCCCCCTTCCAATGACCTTGCCCCTTTCTACACACCCTGTTCTTAGGAACCTTCATGATCCAAGATGGCGGCACGATGACCCCTGCGTGGGCTCCCAGAGTGCATTGCTCCTCGATGTGTTGCATCATGAAACACGACACTTTGTTGTGGTACTGAAAGAACAGAGACATATGATGATACAATTTGCCATATAAGGAGTGGGGGTTATTATTAGTAATAGCAATCATTATATATTTGGATTGGAAAGTGGCACTTATTGCCATATTAGGAGTTATTGCCATTTAAGGAGTTATCACCATATTAGGAGTTATTGCCATATTAGGAGTTATCACCATATTAGGAGTTATCGCCATATTAGGAGTCATTGCCATATTAGAAGTTATTGCCATATAAGGAGTTATTGCCATATTAGGAGTTATTGCCAAATTAGGAGTTGGTACTTACGGCAGCTTTGCACCACGAGCAACTGATGGCAACAATCTCCTGTAAAACACAGAATAGAAGAAAATTTAGCAAAACTGGCAACAGTCTATGAGTTATAATATATAGTTGAGATCTTACACCAAAAAACAGTTATTCATTACAAGCAACTGCGGATATGATTTTGGAAACCGGTCAGACGTTTCAGGTAGCTTTTGTCAGTGACACTGGAGAGTTGTCAGAAAAGCAGATTTATGAGAGTATACAAATTATTGATTGATATGCAAATAAGTCCAAAAGGAAGTTGAGATCTTAAATGCATCTGCACTGGGCAATCCACCATGCATCCACAATTTCATTGCCTGCTATAATATTGTGGTGTCAGAAAACATACTCAGTCTGGTAGCAGGAAAATGATTGGATATCAATAGTAATTGACAGGTTTTAGTGAAACTATTGTAACAGCAAGTAAACTTGTTCTTACCTTGGAATGGAAGGAGAATTTCTGGTGGAATGGCTGCAAAGTACAACGACAAGGTCAAACTTCAAGGTGACTTATCACACATTTATGATGAATATTAAAGGTCAAGATGTGAATTCAAGGTCAGGCTGCTTCCTTTTACTTTTGCTTACTTGGCTTGAAACTTTGATATCAGACTTGGTATTTTTCACCTCCCTGCACACTACCCTTAAGCTTGGCAAACCATCAGTATTGAAAATTTACTGTAAAGTACTGATCAACTAATAACAGTGAAATTTCAGTAAGTCTCCAGTAAATCGTATTTTACTATTCTACTGAAGCATTACTGGTAAGTACTTATGCCTCTATTTACTGTTCTTTTACAGTTAGTACAGTACTGAAAGTTTACTGACATTTACTGTCTGCCTCTGTTCAATTACTGTCAATGGGGTGTTTTAATCAATGTCTTGTTTGACCAGCTGCACACTAACCTTGCTGCACTGCTTGCACTTGCCCTCTTGCCTGCGTCTGTGGACCCAGTGATGCCGCACAAACGTCTGTCAAGAAAATTTGTTGATATAGCTGTTGGCAATGATACATGTCAGCACAGGGAGATTTACAGAAATACAGAAGTAACACAAAACGAATATAGTGCCATAACTGTGCATCATGAACTTGATATTTGAGTAATTTGACCTTGACTCACCTCGCGAGAACCCTTTGTCCCCGGCTCCCTGAAGGTCGGCCGACATCTGAAATTGATCTGGGAAGAAACAGCACGGCATTATGTTACACCGACATCAACTTACAGTAACGCAAAATTTACACTTTCATCAGTTCAAGATGTTTGGAATGGAAGAAGAAGAAGAAACTCAGCAAAAACCATGTTTTTTTCTTCTGCGAAGGTAAACCATGGAGGTAGAAGAGAGATTCTACCTCCATGGGTAAACAAAATAACTCAAGCTCACTTCAGGTTTCAGGTCAAGTCTGAAAATCTATAAGACACAACAGAAGACAAAGTACAAAACAGTAGAAGACCCAGTAGTTAGCAGAAGACACAGTCACTGTTCTTACCTTTTCCAAGACATGCATACAGCCCACATGGACGAGGATCTTACAGCCAAGACATTTCTTCCTGGGGCCAGATTTCTGTCAAGGGAAAAATCATTTCATCAACAGTGGTGGTTACTGGTAACTACACCAATGTCTGCATCAACAATGGTTCTCCCCTAACACACTGTACCAGTGTCTACATCAACAATGGATCTCCCCCAACACACTACACCTGACGGGCTGCATCAACAATGGATAATCCCCTAACACACTACACCTGACCTGCATCAACAATGGATCTCCCCCAACACACTACACCAACACACTACACCAGTGTCTACATCAACAATGTATCAAGTCAAATAAGTGACAAGAAGAACTGTTCAGGGTTCAAGTTCTACTTTCATCACTTCTAATATTATTTTCCCCACCAACCTAGAATGATATCACTCCGGCCCATTGCCATGGAACTGCTAAAGTCATGTAACTACACAGAGGACATGGACCACAGAAATCATGTCCCCTGACTTACAAAGCATAACCATGCATGGTTTTTTTATCCAGTGCCATGGACCTGTCAATTGGTTTTTATCCATTTTGCCATGGAACCAGTAAAACCACATACACAGAGGACATGGACACAGAAATCATGTCCCCTGACTTATAGAGGACCATGCATGGTTTTTCCCTAAAACACTACAACATGGTCCATGGATGGTTTTTTACCCATTATTGCCATGTATCATACACAGAGGACATGGACACAGAAATCATGTCCCCTGACTTACAAAGGACATGGACCATGCAATGTCTGTCCCTTTTCACACTATAACATGGACCATGCATAGTTCTGCCCTAACACTATGGAACCAGTAACTACACAGAGGACATGGACACAGTAAATCATGTCCCCTGACTTACAAAGGACGTGGACCATGCATCATCAGGTTCTGCCCTAACACCATGGAACCAGTAAAGTCATGTAACTACATGTTAACACAGAGGACATGGACAGATGAAATCATGTCCCCTGACTTACAAAGGACATGGACCATGCATCATCAGGTTCTGCCCTAACACCATGGAACCAGTAAAGTCATGTAACTACATGTTAACACAGAGGACATGGACACAGTAAATCATGTCCCCTGACTTACAAAGAAGTTTACCAGGCAGTCCTGCTCCCCCACGTAGCAGAAGTCGCCAGACTCTTTCGTGTCCGTCCAGATGTGCTCCCCGTTTACCGCGTTGTCCTGGCAACGAAAAACAAACAAACAGCTCAGTTATGAGACGTCGGCCAAAAATTTGGGTAAGTCCGAGTTTACTCAGTGTTGGTCTGAACGTTAAACCTTTTTTGTCATAATAAATTACACCAACATAGAATCTGATGAACTTTCATGCTAAGAAACAGCTCAGTTATCTTGAAAGTTCATCTGTGTTGGTAGTTACATGTTTAGAGTTAAAGCTTTCGACCAGTCACTCTGGTCTTCCTCAGTAGACTGACCCAGTGAAGCTTGTCACATGGCTTCTTTGTACTAAGTGTGACGCTACGTGACAAGCAAGTTAAGTCAAGTTACAAACATGTAAGTTAAGTGAAGTGTGACTTCAACACTCAGGTTCAAAGGTATCTTGGTCAGTCTACTGAGGAAGACCAGAGTGACTGGTCTAAAGTTCTAGGTGAGAGAACTTCTTTCTTTCAAATTTACTTACTGTCCAGTCGACTGCTGTCTTGAGCTGGCGTTCCCCCCCGTGCTTGAGGTGATGTTGGTTCGGCCCGTGGTGGGTGTGGTCCTGGCCGCGGAGGTAAGACCTGGAGATTGCTTTCCTGCAACACAACAACAAAGGATTAATAACAAACAAACAAACAAACAATAGCAGAATAACAAACAAACGAACAACCAATAGCAGAATTACAAACAAACGAACAACCAATAGCAGGGTAAGGGTTACAAACATACAAATAAAAGCAGTCTTAAAAACAACTGGAACTCCTGGAACATAAGAATGTCAGTCTTAAAAACAAGTAAATATGAAAACAAACAAACAAACAGACTGGCTGGGTTAAACACAACACCTGGAACATCAGACCAATGGTGAGACCATCAGTCTTGAAACAAATAAATCTCATTGAATACATTGTAACCCTGACTGTTTGATTGGCTTAAACACAACCCCTAAGTCTTTGAATGGGTCAAACATAAGCCCTAAGCGTTCGCCTGGTTTAAGCACAACCCCATTCATCATCAGTGTTTCAGAGGGTAAAGCAACTCCTAACTCTTTAGTAGAGTAAACCATGACCCCTATACTACAGTATAAAGTGTTAAACACACTACAGTAGGATGCGGGCATGAATAGCCGAGCGATGTACTAATGTGTGTGTGTGTGTGTGTATAAGGGAAAATATACAGGACAGAAACGACAGGCATGCAGCTCCGTACTTGAAACTTCGCGGCATCCGGGCAATCCCATGGAAGCGAGAGTCCGCCTCCTCCCTCCCCGCATCCCCAAGGTCGTCCTCATCGTGGTCTTCGTCCGTTGCCATGGTGACAACGATCCTGGGGACGGGGCTCTTCGGCTTTCCTCGTGACAACCGCAACTTCCGCGCGTAGTAGTGCATGTTCAAGGGCATGTCAAGGGCACCGCCAAGGTCACAAGATGGCAGCCGTGTCCCCGGAACTCATGTCAAATCACCATGGCAACGCAAGATGGCGGCAGTTTCCCGGAACTCGTGTCAAATCACCATGGCAACACAAAATGGTGGCGGTTTCCTGGAACTCGTGTCAAATCACCATGGCAACACAAAATGGCGGCTGTTTCCTGGAACTCGTGTCAAATCACCATGGCGACAGAAGATGGCGACTGTTTCCTGGAACTTGTGTCAAATCACCATGGCGACACAAGATGGCGGCTGTTTCCAGGAACTCGTGTCAAATCACCATGGCAACACAAAATGGCGGCTGTTTCCCGAAACTAATGTCAAAATGGTAACGATACTAATCCGGAACCGGGAATGATGGGATTGGTACTGCTCCTGGATATATGTCCCATGATGCAACAGTCAGTGATGATTCCTACTTGAACATCTAAAAACCTGGAGCAAAATTCAAGATGCCGAAGGTCACTCAAGGTCACATCTCCCACAAATCCTCACACTCCTCCACACCTGACATCACATCACCATACCAACACATGTGCTCAACACACCCATGCACGCACACACTCACTCACACAAACACACATACATACATACATACATACACACACACATACAGTAACACACACACACATGCACACACACACATGCACACACATGCATACTCATATGGTGACACACAACATACACACTATCTCTCTCTCACACACACACACACACACACACACACACACACACACACACACACACACACACACACACACACACATATGCAAACACACGCACACACACACGCGCGCACACACAAGTACGCACAGTGCACACACACACACACACACACACACGCTCACACAGACACACACACACACTCAAAAACACACATACTAACACACACACACATCCACACACACACACACACACACACACACACACACACACACACACCCTCACACATACACACACACACATCCACACTCACACACACATACACACATCCACACTCACACACACATACACACACACACCATCTGCTGACACATGGACCACACATCTGCCCACCCACCCCACACCCACACACATAACATCATCCAAACATATTTGCCCCCCCCCCCAAAAAAACCCCACACAACCCATCATATCACCACCTGTGCTCCTAACACACCATCACCATGTTTCTCCCCTGCACAGGGCCCCACAGACACACACACTCCCCTATCTGGGCCCCAAAACACTCATAATCCCCCCATGGAGGGCCCCACAGAAGCACATACGGCACCTGTACATGCAGCCCCCTTTCAGAGCCCCACATACATCACCTCTGCCTGCCTATGGATAACAGAAAATCCCCATGAGGGCCCCTCCATCCCTGACATTCAGGAGGAAAACCTGGTCATCACAAGGGCTGGTCCATTCAAGCACGGGGGAGTCAAGAGCACAGATTGGGCAAGTCCATTCCAAAACTGGGGGAGGGAAGATCGTGAGCCACTCCGGAAATCAGCTGAACACTGGATCGGCCTACTGCAAAATGGGGGGAGATGAGGATACAGATTGGGCTGGTCCACTGTAAGCAGAGGGGTGACATCCCTCCTGAAGGCTAGGTGGAATGCCCCATCCTCATCGCCATGCCGACAGCTGCCGCCCACATCAGTACCAGCTGACCTCTGACCTATGAGATCATCAAACCTGCACCCAGCAAACGGCCTGGCCCACTTTGGGAACGGGGGGTAGGAAAGAGGAGGGGATGTTGTTTGGGGCAAAGCCCACTTTAAAATGGGGGTGTAAAGACAGAAGGCTAGTCCATTTTATGATGGGGGTGCAAAGGCAGAGGGCTGGCCCATTTTGAGATGGGGGGGGGATGCAAATGCAGAGAAGTGGGCTAGTCCATATCATGATGGGGGAGAAAGGCTGTATGATATCATAAGCATTTGACTGACCCAAAAACAAATGAATGGATTGAATCCATTTCATTCGCATATTGTTCAGAGTAAAACAAGTCCAGGCTAAGGCACACATGAGGAAGGTATAAGGTACACCTGCCAAAGGCCTACCTGTGTCAAAGCCACACCTGTCAAAGGCACACCTGGGAAAGATACATGTAACACCTGGGACAGGTATAAGCTTCTCACCTGAGTTTTCCCACCTGAGCGGCATACCTGCGAAAGCCCCACTGCAGGTAACAGTCACCTTTACCTGTATATGCCAGGTAACACAGCTGTGCATGTACTAGTACCTGTATATATCAGGTAACACTCCTGTACAGGTACGTGTTTATATCAGGTGAGAAAAGGTTATGTTACTACAAGGTGTAAGATTCTCACCTGAGTTTTTCCCACCTGAGCGGCATACCTGCAAAAGCCCCACTCCAGGTAACACACCTGTATCTGTTTATACACCTGTACATATACTAGTATATATCAGATAACACACATGCACATGTACCTGTTTAAACCAGGTAACACACTTGTTCATGTACGTGTTTATATCAGGTGAGAGCAGGTAATGTTACTACGTGCACTACACCAGCCACCATTCATGAATATAGTGATGTCATTACCCCCGAGTTCCCATGGCAACAGACATTTATTGGCCTGCCATGTTTAAATATAGCCCAGCCGCCCGATGGCTGCTTTATTTTATTTTTTTACTTCCGCTGCGAAATTAATTTTCTACTCGTGCTGGTGATTGCTTCCAAGAAAAATACTACTTACATGTAGTACCTAATACCAGCTCAGAAAAGAACAAGAAATAGCCATGCCTTCAAGTAGTGAAGTTATCAACCCAAGGATTGAGGTGTTCAAGAATTCATTCTTTCCTAGAACTATCGCAGAGTGGAACTCACTGTCACCAAGTACAGTAGGGGCATTATCAATAGCTTTAAACAATGTTTAGAGTTAGATGTTCAAAGGTTAGGTGTAACAAGTCGTTCGGTGCCTGTGAAGCTGGCGTGTTATACTGAAGGGCATACATGTACCTGTTGTACATAACATGTAATGTTGTTGAAGACATTATTTTTATATCACTGTTATGTGAATAAACCTCATGCACATTATCTACCTAAGGAGCACAAGCAGGATGGACAGAAGCAAACACACTAAAAACAAAATCTCTGCTGGTCTGAGAAGAAATCCCTCCAGCAAGGTACAAATGTACAGACTGCAGTTTGGACAGACCATGCTAGGGGGTGCTTCTGACTGAGGTTTAGCCATCTACAAACGTTTAACAACAAAAATCATCAAAATTTACCTGCACAGTAACATGTACAAGACTAACCAGACAAATAACTTGTTCCTGTCTGTACAGTACATAAATCTGTATAAACCTGACGACTGGTAGTGTGTTTGGCAGAGAACCAAGAGGTCCCGGGTTCGAATCCTTGGCACCCAGCCTCACTGATCTTTTGTGCCCTTGGGAAAGGCACTTTACACAACTTTCCTCACTTAACTCAGGTGAAAATGAGTACCTAGCTTCGGTTAGGGACGTCCCTCGGATAGGACGTTAAATGGAGGTCCCGTGTTTGGGAGAGCCACACCCCACGCACGTTTAAGAACCAACCACACTTATCAAAAAGAATAGAGGATCTTCCCGGTGTGAGTGGTTCAAACCTTACTGTCTTACGTAGCTTGTACTAAAATGTACAAAACTGGTGTGTTTCGCCTAAAGGTGGTTTACTGGTTATGCGAAACAAACAAACAACAAACTGAGTTGCTCCTGCCCGTAAATAAATACATAAACCTGCCCTCCAGCCATAAAAGTCCCATTTACGTCATCACCTGCGGTAACCTAGCAACCACCTGTGGTAACCTAGCAACCAGCTGCCACTCACTCCACTTATGGAAAATGATTAAAACCACAAAAGCTGCCGTGACTCGTCTGGGTATAAGGGTGGGCTGAAGTAATGAAAAATACTGTTTCATGGTCATGATTTAGTCATGAGTAATCTGGGCTGATGCAATGAAAAATTCTGTTTCATGGCCATGATTTAGTCATGAAATATCTGGGCTGGAGCAATGAAAATTACTGTTTCATGGTCGTGAATTATCTGGACTAAAGCAATGAAAAATCCTGTTTCATGGTCATGAATAACCTGGGCTGGAGCAATGAAAATTACTGTTTCATGGCCGTGATTTAGTCATGAAACATCTGGGCTGGAGCAATGAAAAATCCTGTTTCATGGTCGTGAATAACCTGGACTAGCAGTGATGAATTACTATCAAAAAACTTCATTATCTCATTGCTAATATTTGTTTTACTTATTACTATTAAAAACATTTTTGTTACAATTATCATTATTGTTATTCTGTTGGTATTTATTATTTCTTGTTAAGTCCTGTTATTTTATCTTAATTTGGTCAGGGAGCCTAAAAGGGATACTCCTGCTTTCCCATGGCCGTGTACATGTATGTCATAAAGTTGAAATGAATGAATAAATAAATAAACCCTGTTTCATGGCCATGAATTAGTAAAGATTGATCTGGGCTGGAGCGATGAAAAATCATGTATCATGTCTATGAATTGCTGTAAAAATAGCACAGATATGATACAGGATCGGCACAGGATCGAACAGTAAAGGAATAGTACAGGAATAGTACAGGAATGGCACAGGAACTGGAACCCTGGCTTACTTGAAGCCACTGAAATGGTAGGGGAAGGTAAATTTCTGCTCTACACTCGTCAAGTTCAACTTGACCCCACGCAGCTGTAGCTGTGGTGCTAAGTCTGAGTCAGTCGCACACTACCTCCTCCACTGCCCTCTGCACAAGGACGCAAGGCAAACACTTGCCACCGCTGTACGTAGCGTTGTGGATCAATCCCTCTCCACCAACATGCTCCTCAATGGTCTTCCAGGTCACAACCTCTCTACAAACCAAAACATTTCGGCCGCTCTTCAGGGCTACATCCTGCAAACAAAACGTTTCTAAAGTGTCCTTCCACCTGTTCATTTGGTCTAGTGCACTTGTCTATTATTTCCACTGTACGGATTCTCGACCTCTGACCTCCAACTAAGTTTACCCATTTTAATTAGTATTGTAAATATAATAACATATATGTTAATCAACAATGTATGTATAGTCATGTAGTCATGTCTGTCTGTGGCCCCCGCCATCAGCTCTGCTGCCAGGGTGGCCACTGTATTGTGAATGTCGCAATTTTCGAAAAGAAAATAAAATTTCTGCTGTTTAATACAATAGTTGCTGCTGAATAGTCCAAGAACAACACAAAAATAGTCCAGGAACAGCACAGGAATGGTACAGGAATGGTACAGGAATGGTACAGGAAACTGGAACCCTTATATTAATTACTTGAAGCCACCGAAATCTGGCTGTTTAGTACAGGAATAGTTGACGCTGAATGGTACAGGAACAGCACAAGAACAGTACAAGAATAGTCCAAGAACAGTACAAGAATAGTCCAAAAATAGTCCAAGAACAGTACAGGTACAGTCCAAGAACAGCACAAGAATAGTCCAAGAACAGCACAAGAATAGTCCAAGAACAGCACAAGAATAGTCCCAAAACAGTACAAGAATAGTCCAAGAATAGTACAGGAACAGCACAGGAATAGTACAGGAACAGCACAGGAATAGTACAGGAACAGCACAGGAATAGTACAGGAACAGCACAGGAACGTTACTCTACTCTTACAGGAATTCGACCCCTTACTTGAATCCGCTGAAATGATACGCGAAGGTGAATTTCTGCTGTTAGCTCAAAAATGATATACATGTAGAAACTGTACAGGATCGGAACAGTAAAGGAACAGTAAAGGAATAGTACAGGAATAGTACCGGAATGGTACAGGAATGGTACAGGAACAGCACAGGAATTTGACCCTTACTTGAATCCGCTGAAATGATACGCGAAGGTGAATTTCTGCTGTTCCGCCGTTTCGTCGATGCTGCCCCTGTGACCCCCGACCCCGCGCGGCGCGATGGGAATGTCCGGCACGACGGACGACCTTCGGCGACCTTGACTGCGGACCACGAGCAGACGCAGGTCCGGATCCGAACTATCCGTGTCCGACGAACTGTACTCCATTCTCCGCTTAAACGTTACTCTCCTCGGACCAATCTCTCCTAAACCAGTAAGGAACTGTCGTTCTTGAAAACTTCAAGAAAGTTTAATGAGACTCTCCTTGAACCAACAAGGAAGTGTCTGTCTCCTCTGTCCCACTAGCAAGACAAATTATTATAAGGAAGTGTCTGCTCTCTCCTTGAATCACCAAAGAACAGTCTTCGCTTTCCTTCAGCCAACAAGAAAGTGTCTTCCCTGTAAGACACTACTGAAGTGTCTTCCCTGTCCCTAAGACACGGAGAAACTGTCCTCAGCTGTCCTTAGAGTCACAAGCAACTTGTTTCAGTAACAACTACCTCTAGGCCTGTCCATTTAGCCAGAAAAATAGGGGGAAGTGCAGTGGTCTGTTGTGCTAACATACTTAACTCTTCACATTATTAGCAACAAGTTGGTGGGAAAACATAACAACTACCTCTAATTGTTAAGTCGTAAGTTTCATAAGAATACACCCTACCCTGGGAATAGTGGTACAGACCAGACGTGACTAGACAAAATATGCTCTCCCCTCTTCCGCAACAGTGGGTACACCTGAAAGGTCAAAGATCACCAGAGTAAAGTTGTGGGTCAACCTATCACACGACCCAGAAAACTGTAGAATACAGGAAATGACATCACAGGAAATAAAATGACATCACAAGGGCACAACAACAAGAAAAAAAATCCTCCAAACTCTGACTTTGTATCACAACATTTGTCGGGGAAAGTTTGGATGTAATTGGTAAAAACTACCTGCTCCCCCCTGTGGCTTAACAGTTGGTACGACCCGTAGGTGCAGCCAAGCCAGTGGAATGTGATAATTACGGCCCCAGGCGGTAACTTTATCTCTGGGCACAAACAACGTAATCTTAGGTTCACATCACCATAAAAAAAAAAAAAATTTCTAACTCCCGGGAAGGAACCTACAATTTACAGGCACAAAAAAATTTTTCACAGTAAAACTTTCTATCCAGATGGAATCCACAACTTTTTCTACTGTATGGGCACAAACAAGTCAAATCTGGGTTCACATCACCGCAAAAAAAAAGCTTTCTATCCCAGAACTGTTGTAATACATACATGTACCTACATTGGTTTGGTTTGGTTTGGGCACAAACAACTCATATCTAGTTTCACATCACTATAAAATGACAATTTCTTACCTCCAGGCAGTTACTTTATCTCTGGGCACAAACAACGTAATCTTAGGTTCACATCACAGTAAAGCAAATGGCGGCTGCATGCCCTTTTTTGCATGCCCTTTTTTGTAAAGGCGTAATCTGACCTTTTTAGTCTTCATAATATGAAGGCAGCCTCTACAAAAAGCAACGTAATTATAGTACAATAGTCACAAAGCTCAAAAGGCAGGAACTTTATTTCTGGGCACAAACAACTTAATCTTTGGTTCACATCATGGTAAAAACTTTCTATCCAGCAGAAACCCACAACTAATCTACGGTACGGGCACAAACAAGTCAAATCTGGGTTCACATCAAACTTTGATCAAAGTAAAAACTTTCTATTCTCCAGGCAGTAACCTACAACTTATCTACTTTATAGGCATAAACAAAAACTATCTGGGTTCACATCACCAAAAAAAAAATTCTGCCAATTTCTGTCTTTCCTGTGATATCAGGTAACAAAATATGTTGTAACCTGATATCACAGGAGACTGATATGTTGTAACCTGATATCACAGGAGACTGATATGTTGTAACCTGATATCACAGGAGACTGATATGTTGTAACCTGATATCACAGGAGACTGATATGTTGTAACCTGATATCACAGGGAGACTGATATGTTGTAACCTGATATCACAGGAGACTGATATTTTGTAACCTGATATCACAGGGAGACTGATATGTTGTAACCTGATATCACAGGAAGACTGATATGTTGTAACCTGATATCACAGGGAGACTGATATGTTGTAACCTGGTATCATAAAGAGACTGATGTGTTGTTATATGATATCAGGTTACAAAATATCAGTCCTCCTGTGATATCAGGTTACAACATATCAATGTACTGAACCTACCCCAAATCCCCCCCCCAACCCTAGCCCATGCACATACAGTACCATAGATATCCATGTAGTACCCAGTATATGTATTTCCAGTGCAACACATCACACTGCAGCATTTTAAACACAATGAATGCAGAAGTAACTTTGCCACTGAAAGGCAAAAAAAGTCAAGGGTCTGACATGAATATACTGAAAATATTGTGTCAAAAATGCCCGTAGGACAATGGTTAACAACCACACTCTAACGGACTTACCAAGAGCTGTGCAGGAACGACATGTTACCCCCCTGGGGGGTGGTAGGGGGAGGCAGCGAGGGGGGGGGGAGAGAACTCAGATCACCAGATCACCAGACCCCAGAAATCCTCACGACTTTGCTTCAGTCCGAAGTTTTCTGCTGTGGAATTTCATGTTCCTCTTTCAGTGGACTGGGCCAAAGTTTAGCCTGTCACTTGTGTTTGGTTTGTGGGGAACAGCCCTTCCCTAGCCTGGTAACCAGCCATCCTCTGCAGGCCCTCACGTGTGGTGTGAGCAGCCCTTCTATAGCCTGGTAACCAGCCATCCCCAAGGCTCCTCTAGCCTGGTAACCAGCCATCGCAAGGGCTCTCCTTAGCCTGGTAACCATGTTCCTCTTTCAGTGGACTGGGCCAAAGTTTGACCTGTCACTTGTGTTTGGTTTGTGGCGAACAGCCCTTCCATAGCCTGGCAACCAGTCATCCTGCACAGGTATGACTATAATATCATGAAAGTGCGTTAGAGCTGTGGTACTTTTGAGTCGATCCCTGTCTGTGAGACAGAACTGTGGAACGTTTGAGCTGATCCCTGCTTGTGTGACAGAGCTCTGGTACTTTTGAGTGAAAGCTTTGATACTTTTGAGTTGCTCCCTGCTGTCAGCTGCTGCCCAGAGACACCCAACAGGCCAAACACACACATGACAGGCACAGCGCTAGTCTGGTTCAAGGCTCTGCTGCAGGGCTACTAACAGGTTTCAGTGCTACTGAAGGCCTGTAAAGATGGCTGGTTATATTTATATTGAAGTTCATACCATTATACAGACAGGGCACAACTCAGAACTGACCCTTGGACTTGAGGAGACGTTGAAGCACCTGCAAAGCAAACACCTGAGACAGGTGCAAACACCTGAGACAGGTGCAACAAAAGACTGCTGACTGCTGACCAAAATTAATGCAGTGCAGGTAACAGAACTGCCTTTCTGCAGCTCAGTATATAGTAGAGGGGATTCATTCCTCAAGCTAACCGACATCTCACACACGCAGTCGTCCCTCAGTAAGACATCTGGAGCCGCATAGTTCCTGTTTAGAACTTTTATTCAGCCTGTCACACGACCGGTTTTGCCTGTGTGGCTTCTTCAAGTGTAAATAAAGCTACAGTCAAGAGGCTAAAATCTGCAATTTTATTTGTTCACCTCAAATTCAGAACATTTAGAACAATAATTGCCTCAAATCAACTGCCTACAGCAACGAACCACAGAGAACAAGCTTGATGGAGTGAGTAAATAAATCGACAAAATCCATGGACACATTCTACCCACTGACTGTCATGGAGTAGCAGCTCCTCCTAGCTTATCTGATTGGTACTGCAGGCTGGGTTACAGTTCTATAAACAACATGCACAAATATGTCACTGTCCCTGTCCCTGGTACTGAATAACATTCACACTAACACTGCTGTCCCTGGTGCTGAATGACATTTACACTGACACTACTAGTTGATGCTCTGATGTTATAGTTATTAATTGTTTATGTCCTGTGTACTTGTTGTGTGTACCTTTTATGTATATTATCCAGGATTACCTGAAAACTAGGCTGAAATGGCCTGAGTTGTAATTACTGGTAAAACTAGAAAGGAAACATTTGCTTTGAAACATTTGCAAAGCAAATGCATAATGTTTACCTAATAGACAGGAGTCTAAATCCCTCCTACTATAAAATTGCAACATTATGCAACCTAACACTAGTTACCATGGTAACAGACGGTATGGTTAAGGTCATTGACCAGGTCAGTGTTTGGAACAGAAGAAGAAACAGAGCAAAGACAATGTTTTCCTCCGGTAAACATAATAAATAAAGTGAAAGTGCTGTGAAAGGTGAGTTTCCCTGCCATCAGTGCTGGGAGTTTAGATAATGGCATTTTAATTAGGAGCCCATTAGCCATTAGTGTAACGAGGTCAGAACCACAGATTGTGGCAGGATGAAACATTCTGCTGATCAAAGCTGGGGAAGCATTTACTGGATCACTCTGATCTCCTAAGGCCTAGGAAAAATAATGTTGTGTTTCCTGTTTCCCGGCCGACCCTAGAAAAACCTGCCGACCCTAGACTTTTTTGTGTGGACCCCTGCAAGGGACATAATTTTTCGAAATGATCAACCTTTTCTAGCTCCATGATCTGACACCTGAGTAATGAAACATTGTACAATCGGTTTTCCAACATAATGATTGATATTCAAAATATAAGTGTCCTCATGCAAGTTTAATACTCTGTTAAACTGTATACATGTATAAGTTCGATCACTAGAGATTGAAAGTCTAATATAAAAAAGAAAGAAAAGAAAAAAGATCATCCCTATAGCTACCTACCAACCCTAATTTTTTCAGTACTGAAACAGGAAACACGACATGTTTTCCCTAGGCCTTACCAGGAACTGAGGTCCTGGTCGTGATGTCATTATCTATACACCAGCGATGTTTGATCTCTGACAACATACAACCCACTGCGTTATCCTGTTAGGCAAGCGCTCAAACAGATCACTCAGCCTCCGCAGCAGGCTTATCGAACTGGGGAATTGGTGGTTTTCGGCTGTTTTCTGATTAGCCCAATTCTAAAAACGGTGGTAATTCAACCAGGCCGACTATGTTGTCTATATGCAATCAGAAAATAGCACATAAAAGCTCCCAAAGACCACGAAGACTCACAAAGCCCACAGTTTTTGGCATGTTATGGAGGCTACAGATCAGTCAAATCCTGCTTCCCTGTGGCGGTCGTGCTGTTTGTGATTCAGGTCCAGTGTGATAACATAATCTCTGCTTTCATGCCTTTAGATTAGCCTGTCAAACATCAGAGTATAGCAGGGCTCAAAATTCAGTTTTGGGGAATAGGTGCACTAGCTGGTGCACCCATCTAAAAAAAATCAGGTTCACAAAAAATTTTTGGGTGCACCATATAAGATATTAAGTAGAATATAATCAAAACTAATTATGTTTCTACTACAACAATGATTTTATTATTTTTCTGACACTAAAGAATATAATAGCTGTAT